CTCATAACATTGGTTAATGGAAACGCCGTCATTTCGCAATACTTTTTTATCGACATTTATAAAATATCGCCAAAGTTTTGCACAAATCTGTAATGGAAACGCGCCTATTAGGAGCTTGGATGCATTATACATTTCCTCCACTGTAGTTTCTTTATCTAGTGACACTTCCTGATAATTTGTTAGATCCAATTCAAACTCAGAAATACTGCCATGAGAATTTTTTCCATTTGGGAAAAACAAACGAATTGCCTCCTCCATCAGTTCTTCCCTTTTCCAGTCTTTTGGCACACTCAACTTCCTTGTTCCCCCTCCTTTTTTTGCTCTCATTTGAACAAAGCCCTGCCCATCATAGTGCATCCACCCAATCTCAACTTTTCTAACAGCACGCTGAGAATTGTTTTTTCTAGTTGTTTGGGATTCAGTTTGTGAATTGTCAGTTTTTTTTCTTTTGCTCAATTTTGATTTGAGGCGCTCAAACAGCTTTGACTTCCTGCAAGTTGGCTCACTTTCTTGCCTCCTACAAAATCCCATCACTGCCAGTCTGTCTCCATATGAAGGAAAATAGCTTCTCATCTGGTCATCAGTCATTAGCAGTAGGACACTGACATCAATCTGCAAAAAAATAAATTTGTTTAGTATTATGCAATACTTAAACCAAAAATGGATTAGAGTCATACAATTGACCACAGGCACAGTTACTTCCTGGTTTTAGATAAGCCAGCTCAGTCATTTCCGATCAACTGTCAAAATCAGCTACGGAGTGCCCTTTGCTCAGTTTCTGTATAATCCATTCACAATTTGAAGACATTGTTTGTTTTTCTAAGAGGGCCAAACGTCCACCTGTACTGTTTCAAGAATGACAAACGCGAGTGTAAAAAATGAATTGTTCCGCGACTAATTGCTATGACTGACAGTGATAATGGAATTAAATATCTGATGAGCCAAAGTCAAAAATAGAGCTGTGCATTGAGTCAGACTAAATTTAGAGTAACAAAACTATAGCAGTAACAAGTCTGTGTCGGCTGAAAATATTTAGCAGCTTTTACAGTTAAAGATAAAACTTAAATGTAGCTGTTAAATTAAATCTAAAAATATTTCAAAATATGTAATGCATTATTTAATTGTTATACCATTAATAATTAACTTAATTTGTAGTTAACTAGTTAAGTATTTAAATAAATAACCCTTAAAGTCTGTTGGTGTCTGGGCTTATTTGATTATTTTTAAAATGACATGAGACTTTGTGACTTCCTGCACTTGCTATACTTTATACTTCAATACAGTTAAAAGTACTAAAATGTGTTATATTTTTATAATAAATCCAAAAGCAAGACATGAAAAAAAACTAGGGAGTTTAAATGGCAACTGAGCTAAATGAGTGATCCTCTGCTACCATCTACTGGTTATAATGGTAATTTCATGTCATTTTCATCTTTAAAGTCTTTGTTTATCATTATTTGTTATCATTTACTCAAAAACGGATCTCAGAAAAGAAAAGATGTCTGAGCTGTTTTCCATAAAATAAGAAAGCATAGCATTACGCCTCGCACACAACTGAGCATTCAAACTTTTCTGAGCAGAATATGCTACAAGTTTGTCAGTAGCAGTAAAAAAAAAGAAAGTATCATAGCTTTGTTTCATCATATTGACATTACATTTAAGTACTTTTACATTTATGAGAGTAGTTAAACTAAAATGTTATTAATAAATTATTATTTACTGATAATTTCTCATACATCTGAGGTGTAGCAGTTTGAATGCAGTGCATAATATAAGTGTTTGTTTGTGTAAATGTATTAAATGTGTTAATCTTTCCCACAGGAGTACTCATCATATTTTTAATCTAAGTATGGCTCTGCCTTTAGTAACTTAATCACACTTTAGTTTGGAGACCAATTCTCACCATTAACTAAATATTAACTATGACTTTTGCCTCAATAAACTCCTAATTTGCTGTTTAAGTTTAGGTATGGGGTTTAAGATTAAGGGATCTAAAATATGGTCATGCAGAATAAGGCATTAATATGTGTTTTATAAGTACTAATAAACAGCCAATATCCTAGTACTATGCATGTTAATAAGCAACTAGTTAATATTGAGAATTGGTCGCTAAACTAAAGCGTGACCCTTTAATCTGTCGAGTCATCCGCTTCCAGTTATTTCAGCTGTACAAAAACAGTCTGTTATGCTGCTTGATACTGCAAATTGGTATTTACTATTATTTTAATGAATCGTCATAATCATAAACATACTGGGTTCTAGCGCAAATAGTTTTACCATTTACTGCACTTTGTTATTCTTCTAGATATTTACCTATAGCGGCTAATGAATTGGAACCCTCACGCATTCGTAGAGAATAGCTTACTTGCACGTTATAAAATTAAGTAAGTAGTTCTTCACAAGAGTTCCCTTTCATGGGAACTTCGAACTGCGTCCTCTAGAGGTCGC